ACCGTGAACAGCCTCAGCAAGGGCAATCCCCCCCTCACCGATGTTGCAACTGCAGATGAAGTCATGCTGTCAAACTGGTTTTTTTTTTTTAACAACAGGGTCAAACAACTGATGTAACAACTGCTGATTATAAAACAATGAATATTTACCTTGGTGTTAGGCCCAATCCCCCAATCAATCCCGCACAAAGGTCACTGATAATGTCACCATAGAGGTTAGGCATCACCAATACATCAAAAAGTGCTGGATTCTTCACAAGCTGTATGTGGCAAAACATGAAGTCAGTGCTATGTTCAGTTTTCTTTTCCATACATATTGTCAATGGAGTAACATGAATAAATAAGCAATTCCCCTTTTTTTTTTCCCTTTCCCATGGGGGAGACAAGAAAATTCAAACAGGCTAGCATAACAATCCCCTTTCCCATTAGCCCTAGACAGAGAAAGAGAAGGAAAGAAAACTATGTGGTAAAAAGAAGGAAGCTTTTATACCATCATGCAACAATTATCAATGACAACTTCCTCATATGTTATCTCAGGGTATTTCTCCGCAACCTCACGGCAACACTGGAAGTAAAAATTAAACCAGCTTAGTAAGTCAATCCTCTATAAGTATAAAAACAATCACAATAAATTTATGCAGGTAAATTAGCATACCTTAAGAAAAAGGCCATCAGTTTTCTGCATGATGTTGGCTTTGTGAATTGCAGAAACTCTCTCTCTTCCATGGGTCTTGGCATAGTGAAAAGCATATTCAGCCACCCGTAAACTTGCCTGACGAGTAATGATCTTAAGACTCTCAACAACACCTCTCACCACCTAACACAAATGAAAGAATCGGTCCATTTATTTACACTGCGTATGTACTAGCATGCATATTAATTATGTTAAAACAAACTTACTTGATGTTCAAGTCCACTGTACTCCCCTTCTGTGTTTTCACGAATAGTAATAAGATTTACATCATCGTATCGAGTTTTATAGCCAGGAAGGCTATAGCAAGGCCTGACGTTGGCATACAGATTAAGTTCTTTCCTCAAAGTAAGGTTCAAAGAACGATGACCTTTACCAATTGGTGTTGCCATGGGACCTTTCAAGCCTACCTTATTCTGGCGAACTGATTCTAAACTTTCCCAAGTTAGGAAACTCTGGGTTCTAGGATCTATTTGGTCTCCAACATAGTGTTCTTCCCATTCAATGGGCACTTCAGCTTCTCTAAATATCTGTAATAAAAAAATTTAATTTAGTTAAAACGTCATGCATACAAACAGCTAAACTTTGCATCTCCCCACAGCTCCCCATGGTGGGGTACTCAAGTGCATCAGAAGCATTAAAGATGGGAGAAACTAAGACAAGACAAGGGGAACTTACTAAATGATTTAGATTTCACCCTCCTAAGATAGAAGTATTAAACCAAAAAAATTACAGTTTAAATCAGAATCTGCACAAGAAATATCCATATGAAAAACATAATTGATATAAATTTTACATAAAAATTTCCCGTAGAACATCAGTGGCTAGACATTTACCAAAGGAAAAACTCCCAACCAAGAAGAATCAAGCATGACAATATCTAAATTCCAATCCACGAGGTAATCTTCTATTCGATTACACCTAAATTTCCATCCACTCGATAAATATTGGCTCTTCCTAGAAAACATTTTCCCTGAAACAAGCAAATAACAAACAAAGGAAATCAAGCACCACAGCACAGAATCGCAGAAACACTTAATCGATATCAAGCTCTAATCAAACATCCGACGCAGAAACGTAAACTAGAGAGAACAACAAAATTGAAGAGATAGACGAAGAGAAGTACCGTTTTGACCGACTCCGCGATCTCGGGGCCGATGCCGTCGCCGGGGAAGAGTGTGGCTCGGATTGGAGCGGAAGCAACAGAGAAGGCCCTGCCTAAAGCAAGCGGTGAGGAAGGGTTGGGGTTGGTGGAGGAGAGGATCTTGCTCGCCCTTCTCAGGAACCGAGTCGCCATTCTTCACGCTAATTTCCGTCCCTTCTGCTTCCAGCGAAATTCCACAGGAATTATAAGCGAACAAATGCTCAAGGAATATAATACGAGTTTTCTTTTGATTATTATTTTAATAGTGGCCAATAACATGAAGCCACGTTAATAGAAATATTGTCTTTTTAATAATTCTGGCTTTTAGAACAGTCAACTTAGAAATTTAAGTCAATGGTGTTTTGGGTTGTTCTTTTTTTTTTTTTGCCAGTTTTTGTGTATTGGGTTGGGGTTGTCTAACTCGTATTGAAAAAATATATAATAAATATATTTTTAATTTATAGTATAAAAATATAAAGAGTTAGTGTTTGT